TTAAAAGTTTGGCTCTCCATGATTGCAGTCAAATTGATGTTACAAGAGTTTTGAGACATTCTTCCGCAACTGCCCTCCGATCCGCGTACACTGTTGTCCACACCCAGTTGCGCACCAAAGATAAGTGTGGGTGATGGTACATATATACATTTCGAATTGCAAGAGTGCCTGAGGCGCATATGCGAGGGCCGAAGTGATAGTCGTTATGGGCTACAATTGCATATTGATGGGTTATCGTTATTCGGTGGCTCATCACAACACGTTTGGCCAATTTTGGGTCGTCTGTTGTACCCGAAATCTAAGATATTCATTGTTGGTTTGTATTGTGGGATGTCAAAGCCGACTGATGTTCGCGCGTTTCTAACTCCATTAATTGAAGACCTTCGACTGTTGCTGGAAGACGGCTTTTGGGATGTGGAATACGGTCACAAGCACCGTGTGCAGCTAGATAGTGTCATTGCTGATGTTTTTGCTAAGGCATTGGTGGAACAGATTAAACCACACACGGGTTATTTTTGTTGCCCATTTTGCACTCAGAAGGGCAGCAGTTCTTCTCGTGTTTAAAGCTCGTAGAGATAAACTAAGGACGGACTACGATTTCCGTCTGCGATTACGAGATGAACATCACACCGGATTGTCTCCATTTGAGCAGATTCCCATTGATATGGTCGGCACATTTCCAACGGACTTTATGCATTCGATGTGCCTGGGAATAATGAAAAGGCTACTCAGTTTGTGGTGAAAACCTGGTGGGGAAAAACGTCCACCCATAAGTTTATCCCATTGGAAAACCTTGGGGGAGCACTTACAAATGGCATTTCAATCACTCACATGTGAGTTTCCCCGAAAATGCCGTGGTTTGGGTGATATTAAGTTTTGGACGGCCTCGGAATATCGACAATTTCTTCTGTACCTGTGGTTTAACGAAAAGTTTTTCCACATGATGACTACAGAAGCTTCCTAGACTATTCAGTATACACGTACATCCTTTGTAGCACCAAGTTCGCTGAACATTATTTAGACTACATCCAAAAGCGAGCGCCAGGGGTGGTAGCCGATTTCATGCAGCTATACGGAGAAGCAGAGGGGGTGTATAATGTCCATCTGTGGACCCATCTGTGCGACAATGTACGACGACACGGCGTATTGGATAACTTTTCAGCATATCCATATGAAAGTTTCATGCAGACAATACGCCAGTGTGTTTCATCTAGATATACGCTGGCCGAATAGATCTTCCTTCGAGCAATCAAACGTGCTGGTCAAAGAGCTGCTACGGAACAAAAAAATTGCTGGGATGACACCACATCTAACGATATTCGACATCCAGGTTTGAAAAACCATTGCATTGCGTTTGATGGAACGGTTTACGGAACGAAGTCTTGAAGTAGCACTCGGGTTCGAGGCTTGCACCCAATATTCCCGGTTCCGGATTTGTCTTCTTTTCTGCAGTTTGGTTCACGAGCTGAAAGGAATGTTGACGGAAATGGGAGCTGGGTTAAGGGTGCATTCGTCGGGAAAAAACATTCTATAGGAGAGCGACAATGTGAGAGTAGTAGTAACAGGGATAAGCGGGATAATGTGGGAATTTCCTGTAGCAGATGGAGGTCAAATAGATCAGGAGATGGTAAGCCCTAGGTGTGAGTTCAGCAGGGTTTTGAAGACCCTTTTGGAGGAGGAGTTTACAATCTCTAGTGGAAGTTTCTTCCATTCTGAGATGACCCTGTACGTGAAGAAGTTGGAGCGGATGAAGGTTCTGGGCCGGTGTTTGAAGAGTTTTCTTGGGTGTCCCTTAAGTGTTCCAGGCTAGAGTGTGTGAAGAAGCGGTCAACTTGGCCTGACGTGAAGAGGTCATATAGAAGGAAAAGATCCCCTCTGATACGTCGTTCATCTAGGAGATATAGATTTAGCTGTTGTAGTCGGGTAGGATAAGGGATATCTGACAAACCATGTACTAGTTTCGTGGCCCTTCGCTGCACACGCTCTAGTGAATCGCGGTCACGAATGAGGCCAGAATGTGCAATTTGGCTGCCGTATTCTAACAGTGGGCGTATGTATGTTCCATAGAGGAAAGGGAAGTCCTCTTTGGTTATACGCGGGAAAGACGTTTAGGGAGATCATTAATATATAGCAGAAATAGGATGGGACCTAGTACGGAGCCCTGTGGGACTCCTATTGAGACTGGGGAGGGTGAAGAAATGGATGTGCCTATTTGAACCGCGAAGGAGCGATTCGACAGAAAACTAGTAAGCAGGGAGAGCAATTGGCTGGTGATGCGTAGACTCTCTAGTTTGTACGGGAGAGGGATGTGTGGCACTGTCGAAGGCTTTGGCAAAGTCTATGAAGATTGCGTGCGAAATATGACCTTCGTCATAGGCACGGGTTAAGCTATCCATTAAGGCCAGCATATTGGAGATGCATGACCTGTTTGGTACGAACCTGTGTTGGGAAGCGTGTACCAAGCCGTTCTCAGTTAGATGTCGTAAAATACGCCGTTTGATGAGGCGCTCGAAGATCTTACTGGGAATGCTGGTTAGGCTGATGGGCCTATTGCTAGTAGGCAAGTGTCTATCGCCTCTCTTATAAATAGGGATAACAGTTGCCCTCTTTCACTGTTGTGAAAGGGTTCCTGTGGCCAAGCACATTTGAAAAGGGTGGGCATATGTGGCAGCCAACACGTCCGCGGTTTCTTTCAGTATACGGGGGTGAATTTCGTCCGGACCCATGGAGTTGAAGGAGTTCACGCGTTTTAGTTGTTCTTCCACTTCTGAGACTGTTATGACAAAGTGATCTAACGGGGATTGGTAGGTTGATGGATGAAGATTGGGATGACTGATTGGAGATGGGATGTTAAACATTTCGTCGAAATGGAACCGGAACATTTCCGCTACTTCTACAGATGAAGTGGCTGGGGTATCGTCGGGTTTAGATAGTGCAAGGGCAGATGGAGTGTTTTGCCGGGTTCGTCGCATAAATTTGTACAGGACTGACCGGTTTACCCGTACTCTGGCTAAAATATCATTCTGTTGGTTTCTCTGGAACTCTCGGATCCTTGCTTTGCATAAATCGCGAACGCGGATGAAGTCATTGGCATCTTCCATCAGACCCGTCAATTTGTACCCAGCAAAGGACCGCGAACGTTCTTCTAAAAGATGACGGATAGCACGTGGCAAGGGGTGTCTATTTGATGGAGATTTACGGACGCGGGGCACCAGCAGATGGTCCGCTGCGCGGATGCACCGCTCTATTGTTATACTCAAGATGTTAACGTCACTTATCTGGTTGGTTTGTGGGGTATGGGCTTGGAGGAAATGCCTCATGTTGAAGTTTGTCCTTTTGAAATAACGAACCTCCCTAAGACACGGTGTAACGCATCTGGGCCAGCGGACTATGACATCGAAAACAACACGAGATGATCACTCTTGCCCAAAGGGCAGTGCAGTTGGATTGTCTCTGTGAGGTGACTATCACCTGTTATGACAATGTCTAGCAACGAGGGGGCTTGCCCGTTTATGTATCTCGTTGGGCTTTTGACGTGCTGAGAACAAGACAGCCCTGTGATCACGTTGACTAACAGCCTACCAAGTGTGTTGTCCGGGGCGTGGAGTCTGCGCCAATCTATTGCCGGAGCGTTGAAGTCTCCAGTTATCAGAAGATGCGCATTGGGGCGCGTAGATCTTAAGCTTTTTAGTTGGTCTATCAGGAGTTGTGATTCTAGCTCGCCACAGGAGGGTGAGCGGTAGACTACTCCTAGCACCAGTGTCTCAGAGCGGGACAGGGGAATTTGTACCCAAAAGGCAGTCTATGAAGGGGATGGGAGGAAGTGATAGAGTGATCGCTTGGGGGAGGTTGGCACTCGTGTAGAGGATCACACCACCTGCTCGACCTCTCTTTGAGTTTCTCCGGATCAATGAGTGACATGCAAGGGATATTTCGTCATCGCTGTTTCCCGGGGTCAACCAGGTT